ATTGGCTGCCTTCCCAGAAATGTCTCTTAATTTGTTGCCTTTAAGGTGTCGCCGCCAGACTGGGTGGTAGTGGTGGAATATAAAATTAATTTCTTTTTAGATGCATACTGGACATTTGACATAGAATGACGTTCTAACTGCAGCCCGCGGTAGAGGAAGGAACAGTGTTGGCTGAGACTGAAGGACAAAATATGGGGATATGCACTCATAGCTAAGACTGAAGGAGGGATATTGATTATTGGGACCCTCTTGGTTTCTCTGCTGCAGGGCAGATGACCATCTTCTGCTTTGACAGCAGAGCCGCCTGGCAGCCTGAGAATGAAATGGAGAGCCATAAAAGCAAGCAGAGCAGAGTGCACCGTCAGCTAGTCTGTAGTATATTAATGCGGACAGTGTGGGGTTGAGCATCTTTGGGGGAATCCAATAATGGCTGTTCCCGTCACTTCACAATCCTCAAGAAGGAGGTTGCTGACGTTATCATTTTTTGGTCCTTCGGTTGATCGGCGCTGATAGCTCACTCCTAGGCTGCTATCTCACACTCCCAAGCGGAAGGGCTACTTGGAGGTGTGTGCAAGGAGACATTCCAAAGCACTGAAGCTCACAGTGGTGTGCCGGGCAAAGCACACCCATCTTAATTGCAGCATGACAGCAATTCAATAGAGTCACACCCTCTTGAGCCAGAGCTGTCAGACTGGACCAGTGGCGTGTATTTATAGCATTATCTTAATAGATATATACTCGTGAGTAAACCGTGTTGCTTTGCTTGGGACTATCTGCTTTTGAACTGCCAGACTTGATCCACTCCCAGGCTGATCTAGAGACTGTTTTATGCCCTTTAGATTCAGCAAAGGATCAGCTGCTTTTCAGTCAGAGAAGGGAAAGTGCTTCCCTCAAAAAGCAGGAGAAATCCGGGGGAAATGGCCAGGTTAAACATTACCTCTGATGAAGCAGGATCTTACTTACAGAAGCACATGCTGCAACAAGTTTTAGTTTTGAAGGTGCCTGTGCTGTTTTTCTGTTTAAAACAACAACCCAAAGCGACTTTAACCCTTTCCCTTCACATGCAGTCCTGTCTATCAACCAATGACCATAACAATTCTAAATGGTTTCGACTGCTTCTTATATGTGCAGACTGGTTTATGATCATTATTTACAACGAATGGTTTGAAGTATGTAAATATTTCACATTTATTTTATAGGTAATGAAAGCTAATGCTGAAGTACTGTATGGTGATTTGCCCTAAGTTTGCAACGGATATTTGTACGCAAACAGGGTGCCACTTACATCTCACAAAAACCTTTGACTGCATACACACCATACATTTAAGGAATATTCCCCCTTCTCAAATTCTGAGAACTGCTGTTTTTAAGGGTGCTGGGAATTGCAGCTCTATGGTGGGCAAACTACAATTCCCAGGTTTCAAGGTGGGGTGCTTTAAATGTTTGGTGGGTACACAGCCTTTGTCTCTATTACGCTTATGTTCCACTTCCTGATTTGTTTTGTGCACAAATTTGTATTCCTTATTTAAGGAGAAGTCTTGAGCATTCTTTCTTCCCTAAAAGTGACTGTGTACACACCATACATTTAAAGCTCATTACTTTCTTCAAAGAATCCCGGGAACTGTAGTTTGTTAAGGGAATTTGCTGGGAATTGTAGCTCTGTGAAGGGGATTGTTTGGGGGAAAGTTGCACTCTTCAAATGTGTGCTGGATGTGCTTAATGTGGCTCTCTCAATAGTGTGCCCTTGTACTCTTTCTAGATATCCATCCGTTAGTTCATCAGAGGAAGTTTGGAGGTTGAAACAGATTCGGCGGAGGATGTTCCATTATAGCAAATGGGGCACTGCCCCACCAGCCTCCGTCTGCCTTCAGCCAGTCCCCACCTGCCTGCCTTCCTATAACCAGTCTAAGGGGTGGTTCTGGCTTTCAGCTTCCCCCTCCTTAGACTCAGCGTTGCCCTTGTAGAACTGAGTTGGGAGGAGGATGGGGAGACAACTAGAATGGATTGGCTCTGCCTCTCATTGACTCTGGCGCCACCTGCTGTTGGCCTCCCTGCCTTCCGCCCTACCAGTGCCAATGAGCACCAGCTGCTGCTGCTTTGTCTGCTAAACCCTTAGATTACCAACTTGTAGACCAGCATCTGATCTGATAGCAACAACAGCTCTGTCCTGAGCAAATGAGTTGACTGACCAGCTCATATCGCTCTATATGCTTTAAGGGAAGGTTCGTTAATTCAGCTGTTCTGCTTGGCTGGTGTTTTAACCTCTGTATGTGGAAGAAAATGAGGAGGAGGAAGATTTTACGTCATAGCAGACCTTGACCATTTCCCCCCCATTTCCGTGGAAAGAGTTACAGAAAACAAGGAAGTGAGTAATCCACCTACTGCTTCACAGGCTTACCTAACAGCCCCAAATCCCATTATGGATAATAACTACAGATATGCTTCAAGCGCACAACACTCTTCTTTTGCATTAATACAGGGAGATCTGTTGTTCATAACATAGGTTTATGGTGGGCATATTTTGGAGACTGATGCCCATCAATTTGATGTTTAATTGCAACAAGGGAACACTTTTTCATACATTCTACTCTTTCTGTCAAGCATGCTGTGGTTGTTTATTGATTGCTTCCTATGTTTCTAGGCTTGATACTCTCATCTCACCAAAATGTCAAGGTCTCAGCAACTGAACTGCTTGCAAAGGACGAGAGTAGAAATTATAACATGGTTCACTGCTTGCTGAATTTACTTTAATAGCAGCTTTTCCATATGACTCAGGAGTCTTGTCATACCTCTTATTAGAGCTGTGCTTTGCTTTCATTTCATGAAGTTCCCATTTTTATTAATTGGTCAAAGGGTATCTATATCATTTAGCCATTATCAAACAAAGCAGATCTGGATCTGACTGGGACCAGGATAGGAGAATACTAGGAGCCCCATTCTAGAAAAAGTCAGTCTTTTCAGACCTGGGTCCCACCTTAAGCCTAAACTTTTCACCATCTACTTGCCTGGTGCTAATATTCTTTTTGCAACCAATTTAGGTCATTCTGCAACTCATCAATGATTTAATCTTCTCAAGACAAAAGGGTTGAAACAAGGTGATAAGTAGCATGAAGCCTATATGGCAGGAGCTCCCAATTTGTTGTCTTGAGTCCACAGGCTTCTTTGAAGCAGTCTCTGACACATCTGTGGATTTGAGGTTGAAGACCATCACATTAAATATTCATATTGATTTTAAATTGTGTTTCTATTGCTTCTTTTATTTCTTATATTGCATTTTATTGTATTCCATGGAATCCAAATTTTAATGCAGCAGGGTACTATATATACAAATAAATGATGCAGTAAAAATGCAATTAAAAATCATACAGCATCTAGCGCATTGTAATTGCTACAAGAGGCAGAAAAATCACTAAGTGGTCCTTCAAGATCCTCATTGGTTTTCAAGTGGTCCATTATCAAGGCCCTGCCTCCCAGCCAAAGGAATGGACATGGCAGATAGTTAACTCTTTATTGTCAAAGCTGACACAGCACAGTGGTACCTCGGGTTAAGTACCGTACTTAATTCGTTCCGGAGGTCCGTTCTTAACCTGAAACTGTTCTTAACCTGAAGCACCACTTTAGCTAATGGTGCCTTCTGCTGCCGCTGCACGATTTCTGTTCTCATCCTGAAGCAAAGTTCTTAACCCGAGGTACTATTTCTGGGGTAGCAGAGTCTGAAGCGTATGTAACCTGAAGCGTATGTAACCCGAGGTACCACTGTAGTTTCCACGGCTTGCAAGCTGCATGTACAGTCATATTATTATTATTATTATTATTATTATTATTATTATTATTATTATTATCCTTCCCACGCTCCTGGACATTGAAGCCTTCCACCTCCCATCTGGAGGAGGCCAGGAAAAACCTGTAGACTTCAGGTCAGACCCGGAACTCTGGCAATCCTACATCTGAGAGATGTAGTGGGTGGTGAAGCTGACTGCAGCCCACAACACAATGAACCTCTCTCTTACTCCCATTTACTCTTCACATAGTGCGCTGCCACCTCTGGTTTGAAAAGCAGTGTGCATATGACATTAGTCACAATCCACATCTATCCCATTTCTATCCTGCCATTTCTTATGCGTTTGTTCCCTGAACCTGATTTGATCTGAATTTATAAAAACAGCAACCTAGCTGCATTTTAAGCTGGTAACAGCATCAGTGTTCTGTTACCTAATTTTTACTTGTCTCCTTCTACCACTAGCCTGGCAGCATCTTTCCTTCTCCTGCTCTGTCTGTTCTGACGCGTGCATTGACAACAACAAAAACACTGCTCTCTCTCTCTCTAAAAAAGTGTGGCTCTGCATAGCTGCCTAGGGTTGCCTCGTGGTACGGACAATCCCCTGCCTGTAGGATTTGCAGGCCTTGAGCACAATCTGCATTTATCTCTACTTTGTCAAAGTGGGAAGTTATTTCAGAGCTGGGGAGGAAATAATCCTTGGCTGATGTGTGTTATGCTTTGCGTTCCTGAGAGTGGAGTAGTCAGGCTGCCGTAAGTGCATTATAATCCATTGAGTGACATACTCATTACACTCCAAAGCTCTTTGGCTCATTAGTATTGATGCCTTTTTGTAACGATAATTGCAAATGAGAGAATCTGGTTTTTAATAACTTAGGAACCACTGCCCCATACATACTGATGCAGGCAGGCAGCTGGAATGGTTTCAAAAAATATAAACTGCCATCCTATAGAGAGAGCTCACATTCTGCATCTAAAGGAGACAACATAGACAGAAAAACCTCTTTGCCTATGAGATGGAGAAAATTAACCTCTGTATAGCCGTTACTTACACTCAGATTGTCTAGAGTCAAAGATCAAGCTTTCAATTTGCCCAATTAAGCTTTTTAACTCCTATGTATGGAATAGATTCCACATCAAGCCATTAGGACAAATGTACCCTGTAGATTTGTCCTTAATAAGCTCAAGGTGATAGCTACTTTAAATTCACAGTGCTGAATACCTGCTTTTTTGTTCTGTAGAAGCAGCTGCATATGCTTGTCGATGGATTTGTAACTTTCTTTGGTACACAGGAACTTTATCCACATAAAAATGGAATGAAAAACGGTGGAATGGTTATGCATTCAGATGAGCTCTGGATCCTTAGGAGGATGCAACCTCACACAGAAAACTTCTGAGAAAAGAAGTGATTGACAAATCAGGTAAGGACATAATTATTTTGTTAGATATTTCAGCCTCAGCTTTTATCAGTAATTCAAAGGTGTTAAATTTAAAAACATGCAGTAATACACCACAACAATTTTTCTTAAAATGCCAAGGACAGAGATGAATCTTAGGGAAGCAACATTTGGCATATATAAGGGGCATATACCGGTAACTAGAGTAAATCTTTAAGTAAAAGTTAAATGTTATTCTCCAAGTCAAGGCTATGAGCTATTTGCAAGTGTATATCCTCAAACTTACTTCTGCTTCTACTCTTTCAATGTTGGTGTTTTTTTTCCTCCTCTTGAGAAAAATTTCAAAGTATTGTTGTGAGTTTGAGCTGTGGGGTAGGCTATATCTTTGAGTCCCTTCCAATTCTTTGATCTCCTGGTTCTTTATTGATCTATTTTACAAAAATGATATACCACTTGGTTGTAGGAAACTGTGAAAGATATAAGTTTAATATGCATAAAATGTAAAGTTTGTTTGCATTGTGTTTGAAAACATTTTGCAAAGAGACATTTTCATTAGGCATGGGAGGTTTCACTCTGGAAAATGCGGTAGAAAGGTTTGTATGTTTCCGTTTCAGCCTTTATGCTAATTGATGATTCATCCAGAAACAGAACTGCAGATCTCATACAACAGGGAAATGAGACCTGAGAACTCAGTGTTTTTGTCAGCAATGGAGCCAGGAGCAGCAGAAGCTCAGTTTTGGGATCTATCTCTGGGAGCACAGAGAGGAAAATTCTTTTATTTCTGAACTGTATTCAGGACTAAAAAGAAGACAAGACCACATTGCTTGCTTGCTTAAGAGCAATGTGTTACTAAATATTTTGTAAACATTTATTTATAACTATTTTAAAACTTTTCCTCAGTAAAGCTTTGAAACTCATTCTTGTGGTGGAGAGCAAATACTTTTCGACTCTTCGTAAGGTCCTGACCAGAGGTTCTATTGCAGAAACTCTAACATAAACCTCAATACAATTTGAATTATACCAGCATGTCCCTTAGGCTTAAAAATTCAGTCACCGGGAGCTCTCATTCAGATTAGTAGAAATATTTTTGATAATGACTTTCACTTGAGAAATTCAGGGCATTCTGTGTAGAGGGATGTTAAGCACAGAGAAAGTGGGGAAAGTCCTGTTGTCAGTATAAAAGTCTTTGAGAGCATCAGGGGAGATAGAAAAGACTTCTGAGCTAACTGTGTGAGTGTAAAGCAATAGTCTGAGTTAAGAGAAAATTGATTGGGGTCATTCGTAGCTGGTGGATCCCAGTTGACCTCAATCAGCATAAAAGCCCAGGGCTCTAGCTGGAGAATTGTACTGAAAACTTTTTAAGAAGGAAGGCAGGCTGGTGGTTCCCTCACTAGGAAGAAAACAGTGAGACACAAAAGGGCTGACAGGAAGGACTTAAAAGTCAAGTGAAGCCTTTCCTGGCTTAGGGATCAAGAGAAGGGAAAAGTTTGAGGGGCTTGATCACATTAAGTGCAGTTAAAGGCACAGGAACAAGGAAATAAGTAAAAGCTAGCTAGTGTGTGGGAAATTTCCGTAGGTGGCGCTGTGGTCTAAACCACGGAGCCTCTTGGGCTTGCCAATCAGAAGGTCGGTGGTTCGAATCCCTGCGACGGGGTGAGCTCCCGTTGCTTGGTCCCAGCTCCTGCCAACCTATGCAAGTAGATAGTTACCGCTCTGGCGGGAAGGTAAACAGCGTTTCTGTGCACTGCTCTGGTTTCAGTGTTCCGTTGCACCAGAAGCGGATGCTGGCCACACGACCCGAAAAAACTGCGGACAAACGCCAGCTCCCTTGGCCTGTAAAGCGAGATTAGCGCCGCAACCCCAGAGTCATCTGTGACCGGACTTAACTGTCAGGGGTCCTTTACCTTTACCTTTTTAGCTACTCTAGTGTGTGGGAAATGGCCTAGTAGAGGGGTGGACATTTGGCAAGGAAGCAAGTTTAACTAATGGCCGGATTTGCTTGCTGGGTGTCTGTATGTCTTCTCGTTAGTCTTTTTTCATCCCACACGTTTCAATGCATTTCCTCCTGGACTTCCCAAACTGTAAACAGGTTGCCCTTGAATCCCTACCTCCCAAAAAAGTCTGGAGGTTCCCAGATAGATTGCTACCAGGGCTGCCCTTGTTACTAGAAGTGAAATATCCTGGTTTCTTAAACCATCAGCTCCCACTGAGAAAACATCTACCAGCCTTTAGCCAGCAAGGTGTCTGGCAAAAGAAATGGCAGGAACTGGGCTCTCTCAGAGGTCCAGTGACTTCCAGCTTTTGAGGCCCCTGGCCATAACAGCAATTAAAAATGACAACATGAGAAAACAATGCAATCTAGAGCACTTAACAAAATAAGTTTGTGTTTTACCAAATTGCATCTCTTCATTGTTTTAAGATTTGCAGACATTTGGTCTAATGTGCAGCGTTACACATCTTTAGTTGCCAGGCAAAGACATTCCTTTTTTAGTAAGGCCCTTTGGCTTTTAACTATCCATTGCACGGGAAGCAAAATATCCCTGCTTTGCAGGGGGTTGGACTTGAAGACCTTCATGGTCCCTTCCAGCTCCACAATTAAAGATTCTCTGGTGCTGACCTTTAAAGCCCTAAACCACATCGGCCCTGTATGCCTGAAGGAGTGTCTCCACCCCCATCATTCAACCTGGACACTGAGGTCCAGCTCCGAGGGCCTTCTGGCAGTTCCCTCAATGCGAGAAGCAAAATTACAGGGAACCAGGCAAAGGACTTTCTCGGTAGTGGCACCCACCCTATGGAATGCCTTTCCTCCAGATGTCAAGGAAATAAACAACTATCTGACTTTTAGAAGACACCTGAAGGCAGCCCTGTTTAGGGAAGTTTTTAATGTTTGCTGTTTTATTATATTTGTTGGAAGCCACCCAGAGTGGCTGGGGCCACCCAGTCACATGGGCGGGGTACAAATAATAACATTATTATTTGTAATTAGTATTATGATTTTATGGCTGAGTGAGGATTTGAACTCAGGGTTTCCTGGTCTTGCATTTCAGCGCACTGTTTCTCGTAACAGCATAATTTCTGGCATCATTCCCAGAAGTGAAGTAATCCAAACGAGACTTAGGAGATGGGCTTGAATTCTTTCTGGTATGCAGTACAACCGGATATTAGCGATAGCTCTTGCACCTGACTTCACCCTAGGCAGCTTGGCTGCTGTCAATAATATATGTAGGTGCAGCTGATTGAAATCCTGCTTACGGAGTCAGATCCAGCTCTTTATCTTTTGGCTGGGTCTGTTCTGATAACAGGGCTGGGGGAGAAAATCATTAAAGCATTAAGATGACAGATTACAAAAAGGGAGCACGGCAAGTCACCCAGAAGGTGCCTTTTGAATGCTGTTGCATTTTTGCAGCAGGAAGGCACTCGCTTGAGTTCTTTATCGTTCTTTTCATTGCATCGTCATTGGTTCTGGCTGAATAGAAACTATGATGTGTAAAATTGTTCGTTGCGATACGTAAATTTATTAGAGAGGTGAAGGTAGAGTTCATGAGCTTTTTTATGTTGGGCAGGTTTACTTTCACAGAAAAATGAGGGGGGAAAATATATAATAGGAAAATAAGTTTTTTTTTCTACCCAGCTCCTGGTCACTTTTCATTTTTCTCTCCCAGGAAAATCTCACCACTAGGTAAGATATCACGGCATTGTTTCCATGGTTACTCCCTCTCCCATGAATACATGGTGAATAAAGGAATATCTACCATTGAATAACTAGAGTTTCTTTTTTTCTTCTCAATTTTTTCCCATTGAGTAAAACATTAAGTATATATGGTTACAGATAACGGGGGGGGGGGGGGACAGCCCTGGACCATTTTTCACGGTACACACATTAATCCTAGCAACAACAAATACTAAATAAAATCTAAAATTAGCATCTCCCCCTCCTTAAAGTTACTTTAGAATGGAAAAGACAACCTGCTTGCTTAGAAAAAGTTGTTACTGCTCCTTCCCCCCAGGACAAGATGGTCCTTATTGTTTCCCTATACATCTGCATACTGTTGGGATCTTTTGATTTTGCTGTATGTTCAAGAAAGTCAAACCAAACAGTATAAAACCTGTCCTTTTAGAATGTATTTGTCCCCTAACAGACTAAGCAACCTGGAAATACTACTTGTGTTGAGAAGAATCCTCCCCTCTCTTACTCAACTTGACTGCAGGTGCCTTTGATACCCTACAAGCTCCCCCCGCCCCCCAAATTATTCAGTTGAAGGGGACTTGTAGGAGCCGGGTTTGGGAGAAGGCATTATTGAACAAAGGCGTGCAAGCCTTTGGAACTCTGCTTCCAGCTCAATAAGCAACATTAATGCCTTTGCAGATTTGCAAGTGATTATTAACTTGTCGCATGCCATCAAGCTCACCTTTGTGTTCATAATATAAAACAGAATTCTTTTATGTACATCGCTCAGCCTCTTGGTGCACAGACGCAACCCCAAACCCTTATCTTGACGATGCTTCAATCTTCACACCGCTTTCAACAAAGCAGGCTGAAGGACGTGAATGAATTAAAAAGGCTTTATATAAAGACATTCATTCTCCAGGATGATAAATAAGCTGGTCATAAATAGGCTTCAAGGACCATAACTCTTGTGGCTTTATCAGCCTTGTTTGTGATAAGTGTTGTTCATTTATTCATTACTGAAATTAAACGGTGAAAAGGATTAGTTGATTGCCCAGCTGATTGGAATATAAATGCTGTTCAAATACACTGACACTTGCCAAGATGTTATAATTTGCCCAGAGCAGCTGAGAAGATACCAAAGGGGTGTCAAGAAACGGCAGAATAAACTGTTGTGGGTTTTTAACGTTTTCTTTCGTTGGTTTTGTGGTGGATGTAATCCTTTGCTATGTAAAAAGAGGAGAAGTTTGGTTGGAGGCCCTTGCCCACAACTCTTGAAGCCTAGTGGTTGACTAAAGGGTTGTGGTCCTCAAAAGAATGTTGTACACTTGTTCAGAGAAGCAGTGTTGTTTCCAGGCTGCTACATGTGCCAAATAGTACTGAGCTTTTGCCATGCACTATCGCTAGCACATACCTGTGGTACTTAAAATCTTGTGCTGACTGATTATATGCTACTGAGCCTAGTTCAAAGTTCTTGGATTAATTTACAATGTCCTTAATGACTTGAGTCCACGCCTGATTCCTTATATCCCTGTCCGATCACTGAGGTATTTGTTAGTGGCCCCCCCATAGCTCAGATGTACAGATCATATTGTAAAGGAGCCATGTTCAGCATGTGTTCAGTATTGTAGGGTCAATTTTCTGGAACTCCCAGCTGATATCAGACACGAGCCCCTTCCTACAAAACATCCAGCACGTGCTGCTGAAGACGCACTCTCTCTCACACACACACAAATCTAGCAGGCATTTTAACTATTTTTTATTTTATTTTATAGTTGGTTTGCAACTGATCTTGATTGCATTTGTTGAGTTTTATGAACACCACTTTTAGCCAACTGTAATGTGCTGGTATGAGGGACGCGGGTGGCGCTGTGGGTAAAACCTCAGTGCCTAGAACTTGCCGATCGCATGGTTGGCGGTTCGAATCCCTGCGGCGGGGTGTGCTCCCGTCATTCTGTCCCAGCGCCTGCCAACCTAGCAGTTCGAAAGCACCCCTGGGTGCAAGTAGATAAATAGGGACCGCTTACCAGCGGGAAGGTAAACGGCGTTCCGTGTGTGCTGCGCTGGCTCGCCAGATGCAGCTTGTCACGCTGGCCACGTGACCCGGAAGTGTCTGCGGACAACGCTGGCTCCTGGCCTATAGAGTGAGATGAGCGCACAACCCTAGAGACTGGCCCGAACAGGCAGGGGTACCTTTACCTTTTACTTTAATGAGCTGGTATATAAATTGTCTAAATAAATGAAGATTCTCATACGCATGGCCCCCTAGTAGCGAGAGAGTCCAGGGGCAGCTCTGTCTGGATCAGGCTTCGTTTTGAGGAATGGTACTGGAGACACACAGCATTTTTACAAAATTTGCTTTTCGTTTACAAAATTATTTAATTCATTTATTCAGACTATTTCTTAACCACCCATCATTGAGAGGATTCCAAGGCGGTGTGGAAAGTGACGAGCATGGAAAATGGGGCACAGCATGAGTGCTGGTCCTTGCAGGCCCCCCGCCCTCCATGCTTCCTGAACACTTGATACCTATTGGTTAGCATCCATGCGTCTTGGGAGACAATGGAAGAGTGCACCTTTGGGGGTGAAGTTGGAAACCAACTCCCCATAGAGCACATCCTTGGGGATCCTGCCATCTTCCATTCCGTAGACATGATCAAGCCAGCATTGTAGGGATGGCGTCGAAGGGCGCGAGCACACCCTCCCCCACAGCATAAGACAAGCCACAGCTATCTAGCTGCCATGCCCACTCCTTGACCTTTTGTCTCCTCAGTGCCCTGACCTTTATCTCCTTTGCCAAAAGTATTGCTCATTTCCCCCCTGTAATGGGAACATGATGTGGTGGAGCAAGTTGCGTAGATAACTAGGCAACACCCAGGCGGCTCAGGATTGGAGAAGTGTAAAGGGCAAAGCCCTGAATGTATCTTCCTGGTTTTGCATATCTTGCTAATAAAAAGAGCCTCCACTAAGAAGAAGAAGAAGAAGAAGAGTTTGGATTTGATATCCCTCCTTTCACTCCCTTTAAGGAGTCTCAAAGCGGCTAACATTCTCCTTTCCCTTCTTCCCCCACAACAAACACTCTGTGAGGTGAGTGGGGCTGAGAGACTTCAAAGAAGTGTGACTAGCCCAAGGTCACCCAGCAGCTGCATGTGGAGGAGCCGAGACGCGAACCCGGTTCCCCAGATTAGGAGACTACCGCTCTTAACCACTACACCACACTGTCTCTGGCACAGTGTGGCACCACACTAAGCTAGCAGTCAGCTTGCTCTCACACAGCTCACTTGCATCCCAACTCCCACATCGGCTCTGTTATTTCTACAAGCATAGATGTTGCAGAGACAGGAGTGCAAATATGCTGGAGATGTGGGCTTGGGAGAGCACACCCTTGTTTGAGACTTTGTCCTGCCATGTGAAGACCGACATCCTGGATCAGGACATCACCCACACTCCACGCATCAGCATTAATGACCACATGCTTGGGGCGGTAGACGATTTTGTCTACCTGGGCTCCATTTGAAGGCAAAAATACAGTGCAGCTAAATTCGCAGTTGGAAAGTAAGCACACAACAACAGTAGACTTAAGTCACAGGGACCAATATTGGCCTTTAAAGCTATAAGAACCAGCCTACATACAACATACACACACAGCAACACTGGGCTCGAGATAATTTTTTAACGCCAGGCAAGAAAGGAGGAGAAAGTTATATCCCTATAAGTTAAAACATATGCAATGAAACAATGTGATGGCCTTGTCCCTGACTCACTTTGGCTGTGTATACATCACCAGTTTATAATGCAGTGAGGTTGTTCCTACCCACCTCCAATGAACTTCTGATCGCATTTACATGTCATTTTACATGTCAGAATGGGTTGAAAATGTTTCCAGATCAGCTGCTGTCCACACAAGTAGGTGGGAAAGATGTCTTCATATGGCTTAGATTTTTGAATCAGACTGAAGATGGTTTCCGGGGGAAATGCATTAAAACTGTGTTTCTCAAGATGTGGTTTGTGGCTAACGTATTGTGTACACAGCTTCACAAACCAGCAGTGTGAGTGCACTGTAGAGTAATCAGGAGTGACAATGCTGACTTGGAGGCATGCTCATTGACATTTTGTTTGTGTAATAAGGGATCCTTCAACATAGCAGCATTGCCATACAAGGGAGTGGTTCACCCCTCACACACACATTTTCAATAAAGATTTATATGTGACCACTGGTTTAGTATAGCAATTTTAGTTCAGGACCAGGGAACAATGCAAATTCTAAAGAAGCCTAGAATAAAATGTGTCTCTGATACTGCTAAGGAGTTATACAAATGCGTATTTTAACTCCCCAGATCTTCAACCTTTCCCCCCAATGGTATTTCAGAGGTTGCCCAGTCCAGAATTCCCTACCCCCTTTCAATTGGTCTCCATAAGAATTGTACCGTGGTACTTTGGTTTAAGAACAGTCCTGTTTAAGAACGATTTGGTTTACAAACTCTGCAAAACCGGAAATAGTGTCCTGGTTTGAGAACTTTACCTTGGTCTAAGAACAGAATCCTAACACTGGAAGGGCGCCAGCGGCCAGAGGCCTCATTAGGGAAAGCGCGTCTCGGTTTAAGAACAGACTTCTGGAACGGATTAAGTTCGTAAACTGAGGTACCACTGTATTCCTCTAAGGGCCCTTCCAGATGTCCTGTTGTTGTGATACATCTTAATATTGTGCGATTCATTATTAGCTGCTGTGTGTTTGAAAATTCGGCAAGAAATAAGTTTTTGAAATAAGAACTCTGTGGCCCTTAAATATTAGCGTGCCAATTCCCCATTTCCCACCTGACTGTGACAGTAATCCTTGCAGTTTAGTTGCATTTGAAATACGTTTGATACCAACTCACGATAAGGATCCAAGCGTTGTTTTTGAAATGTAGCCTATGTATGTAATGTGATACGTGGCGTTACGTACACACGTACACCCACCTTCACGTATCAAATAATTGTGATCCGCGCTATGTATAATTGCTTGGGCTTCATGCTGGTTTGGCAAATGACGCTGCAGTTCGTACCTTTGAAGTCCAGGCGGCGCTACTGGCGGTGGAACTGGAGCAGCTTTTCCCAACGGCGCTTTCTAGAGCTAGGAAAAGAGAAGGGTCACTTCCGTTCTACTACAGTGTTTTTCCCCATTAATAACTTCCAATAAGTGACGTTCAAGTCCGTATCTGCGCGTGCGCAGCGAGCTTTCCTCGTTCCGGTCTCGTTTATTTTTCCCCCCTCTCGCGAGAACGGACGAAACCGGACGTCCTGCCTTCCCCTTCCGGCCCCCGTGTACCTCTCTCTTTAACTCCGGCAAAGGGGCCGGACGGACACGCCGCAACCATGGCGCTCTACAACTTCAAGAAAATCATGGTGGTCCCGTCTGCCAAGGTAAAAGGAGGACGGCTCCCTTCTTTCGTGATTCGAACGGCGCGCGGGAGCTCCTGACTGCGGCTGCGCCGTTTCTGTGGGAACACGGCGGACCCGGTTAGCGCGTGGCGCTGGAGGGGGGGGGGAAGGGAGAGGCCACGTGCCGGAGAAGGGGGAGGCCACTTGACGTGCCTGGCCACTCATTGGCTCTCTTCCCCACGTGGCTCGCGGTGCGCTACTCCACAGTGTGGGTTTTTTTTGGGGGGGGGGAGCTGTGCCTGTTGAATTTCTGCCTGTAGCGCTGCTGCAAATGGTACCAGCAGTGCCGGATTTACGTACAGTGGTACCTCAGGTTAAGTACTTAATTCGTTCCGGAGGTCCGTACTTAACCTGAAACTGTTCTTAACCTGAAGCACCACTTTAGCTAATGGGGCCTCCTGCTGCTGCCGCGCCGCCGGAGCACAATTTCTGTTCTCATCCTGAAGCAAAGTTCTTAACCTGAAGCACTATTTCTGGGTTAGCGGAGTCTGTAACCTGAAGCGTATGTAACCCGAGGTACCACTGTATAAGCTAAACAAGCTATAGCTTAGGGTCCCATTCTCTTGGGGGCCCCAAAAAAAATTAGAGGGGAAAAAACCAGGATGTACATTGCCAAAATATAAGATAAAAAACAAAATAAAATAGAACCTGCATACAGCAACAGTGTTTTGGGTTGTGTAGGCTCCTATGATGTAAGTAATGGGCCCTGCCTGCTAGCCTGCTCCCTAAAATATCACTGGTTTGTTCATTTCTATATCAATTACTTTGATAAAATACATATTTTGTTATGAGCAAATGGCTTTAGATACCTGTTAGGTCCATATAGCTTGTATTCAACACAAAAAACAGCAACAATTGTTATTGACAAAGGACAGCTGCACTAATAATAATAATAATAATAATAATTTATTATTTATACCCCCGCCCATCTGGCTGGGTTTTCCCAGCCACTCTGGGCGGCTTCCAACTGAATATTAAAAACAGTACAGCATCAAACATTAAAAACTTCCCTAAAGAGGCCTGCATTCAGATGACTTTTAAAAGTAAAATAGTTGTTTATTTCTTTGACATCTGCTGGGAGGGCGTTCCACAGGGCAGGCGCCACTACCGAGAAGGCCCTCTGCCTGGTTCCCTGTAACCTTACTTCTCACAATGAGGGAACCGCCAGATAGCCCTCGGCGCTGGATCTCAGTGTCCGGGCTGAACGATGGGGGTGGAGATGCTCCTTCAGGTATAAATTTATAAAGTACATATAAATTACCATTACCTTCAGTTGCTTAGGCCCTCATCAAACCTAAATCCGACCCTGGGTGCCCATGGAGGGGTAAGAATAGGTAGCGATCCTATTCTCTTCTCCTGAAAAACACGTGGCCCTAATAGTGACACTGTTTATGTATTAAATTTGTCGCATAATCGTAGAGTTTGGAAAGGGGGTCCTCCAAGGGTCATCTAGCCCCCCCAGCCATGCAGGAATCTCAACGCAGAATCCTTGTCAGCTGCTTTAGTCTTGTGACTTAACAATCAGTCAAATAGGCAGTAAACCCCACATTAAAACTTAAAGGGAAGAGAAACGCACAGAAAATTTCCCACCTGCTACTTCTAAAAGGCTGCAGATAGTTAAAGGCCTGCTTTCAGAGGAATGGTTTTGCCAGAAACCCCTCAATTATTGATGTGTTTTTTTGTTCCTAATGTGCTAAGCAAGGAACCAGGGATCCTTTGGCCCTCCGAATGCTTCTGAATCACAACTCCCATGAGTGTGGCCAGCAGCAAGGGGTGGGGGGAGTCGTAGTTCAGGGATGTCTGGGTGGGCCAGAGATTCCCCACACCTGTGGCTGTTAAGACAGAAGCACAACAACAAAAATGGGCAAATAATGTCTCAACAAATGACACTGATCTATTAAAAATGTCACTTGGGGGAAAAAGAGAGAGAGAGAGACATTGCACATACTTTTGTAAACGAAGAAAATCTTTAATAAAATACATTTTAAAAAACAGGCAAATAAGCAAATGAAAGCATGCGTAATGGCTAAAAAGCTGCATTCAAACAGACATTTAAATAAAATTGCTCTTGGTTTTAAAAAAGCTGACTTTTTAATTTTTTTATTTTTTTTTTAAGTCTGGGGAAAGAACCATCTTTTTCTTTTTTGCCTTGGGCTTAAATGATAGCAGAGGGGTTTCCAGGCATGTTTCCTTGGGAGTCATGCTCAAAGGAAGCCACCATTGAGAAGGGCTTCTTTTGATCATCACCTGCTGGCACTTCAGATGACAGTCTTGGATGAATGTGCCAGGTGCGTCCTCACTGTGAATTGGTGAAGTCTCCTCACTTTCCTGGGCAACCTCTCCATGTGTGCAGAAGACTCCAGCTGTCTTAATATAGCACCACTCCCTGTCTCCACCCCCACAGAATATTTCTTGTAGGTGGTTCCTTTATTTTATTTTTTTGCACCTCTATTCTCAGCTTACTTGCCCATCTTCCAGTATTGTTTTGCCCAATACAAATGGCTTTCCTTCCTCCCACTAGAAACGAGTGATGAGAGAATAGTCCTATACTGCTAGCGGCTCCTTTTTGTACAAGGTGATGCTTATCTGAAATACGCTTGTAACATTCCATGAGAGAAATAATAATAATAATAATAATAATTTATTATTTATACCCCGCCCATCTGGCTGGGTTTCCCCAGCCACTCTGGGCGGCTTCCAACTGAATATTAAAAACAGTACAGCATCAAACATTAAAAACTTCCCTAAAGAGGGCTGCCTTCAGATGACTTTTAAAAGTAAAATAGTTGTTTATTGCTTTGACATCTGCTGGGAGGGCGTTCCACAGGGCAGGAGCCACTACCGAGAAGGCCCTCTGCCTGGTTCCCTGTAACCTTACTTCTCGCAATGAGGGAACCGCCAGAAGGCCCTCGGCGCTGGATCTCAGTGTCCGGGCTGAACGATGGGGGTGGAGAAATTAAACTATATGGGTGTTTCTGTGTTTGTTCACACCCATGGCTCTTGGAAGTGAAACGAGGGCTCTGTTCTGGAGGTGGAAGCTACAGGATCAGTACCTGATGTGCTTTCAGTTTCTGATAAATTCTCCCCGGTCATTGTATGTCCTTAAATGGTTTTGGTAGACAGTGCCAGGAGCCTGAAGCACAGCATCCTTTCCTTTGCTTGTTTCCAGGCCTAGCAGAGAAGCAAGCATCACCATCCAGATGATCTGTCTTTATTTTTCTTAGATGTTGCACTCTTTATTCGGATGGGTCCTAAGCTCCATCTCACTATTACCTTGGTTTGCTAGATTCATGGGAGGTGTTGCAGTTTCACAGCTGGACAAAATTGGCATCTGTCATGGGGCTGAGCTGCCATATGTGGCACCCAGGGGGTTCCAGGTTCAATTCCCAGCTACTCTGATCAGGGTAGATTTGATTTGATTTAAATCAAATCAATTTAAATCACAATTTAAATCACTAGTCAGTAAGATTTGATTTAAATCTTTTTTTGCAGAAAGACTCATTCTTGTTGGTATAATCTTAATACAGTGGTGCCTCGCAAGATGAAATTAATTCGTTCCGCAAGTCTCTTCGTCTTGCGAGTTTTTCGTCTTGCGATGCACGGTTTCCCATAGGAATGCATTGAAAATCAATTAATGCGTTCCTAGGGAAACCGCCTTCAGACCAGGTCCGGGGACAGTCTGTCCCCCGACCTCTTCTGAAGGCTGGGGGGGGGCAAGGGCTTTTCTTCCCACCCCCAGCATTTTAAAAAACCCTGGGACAGCGGAGGACTTCTCCGCTGTCCGGGGCAATCTTAAAATGCTGGCGGGCAGCATTTTAAAATCGCCCGGGACAGCGGAGGACTTCTCCGCTGTCCGGGGCGATTTAAAAGCCCCTGGGAAGGCAGGCAGGGGGACAAAGATTTTCGACCCCGCCCGCCTTCAGAAGAGGTCCTGGACTTCTTCTGAAGGCGGGCGGGGGCGAAAGTCTTTGTTCCCCCCTGCCTGCCTTCCCGGGAGAGCGGAGAAAGGCAGCGCGTTTCTCCGCTGTCCCGGATGGCTTTTGAAGGCAGGCAGGGGGGAGCAAAGACTTTCGCCCCCCGCCCGCCTTCAGAAGAGGTCCGATGCCGGGCGGCGGGAGGAGGTCCGAGGACAGTGGGGAAGACGCGCTGCGCTTCCCCGCTGTCCTGGAGATTTCCCTATGGGCTTTCGTCTTGCGAAGCAAGCCCATAGGGAAATTCGTTTTGCGAAGCGCCTTCAAAACGGAAAACCCTTTCGTCTAGCGGGTTTTCCGTCTTGCGAGGCGTTCGTCTTGCGGGGTACCACTGTATTTACAAACAGATGAAGGTTTCATTTTTGGAATAATAAATTTTCAGAGTAGTTTTTACAGTTATATAAAAAATTACTGATTTGGTTGTACTATTAGAAATACATAGACCGATAATTATGAAATTATTGTGAGGTTAAATAAGTTAACTGTTTATATATTAGGACAACTTTTCTGCTATACTTTATTGGAAGGAGGAAAATAATCATTAACAACAATTTATTTGACTAAAATAGCAACATAGCATATGCCTCCACGTTTGTTAACTGATGTGGTTAAACCATTTTTTAAAAAAAATTAGACTGAGTTTATAACACATGAAAAACTTGAACAAATCCTTATTTCCTGATGAATAGCTTTTGGACTATTTTTCCTCCAAAAATCCAATTTAAATTAAAAAATCCAATTTAAATTTTAAAAATTCATTTAAAAAATCATTGATTTTTATCCACCCTGACTCTG